CAACAGCACAGAAATACACTCCGCCGTCACCGGGCTCCAGGTCCTTTACAGTGAGAGCCCCGCTCTCGATGTTGTCTTTGACGGCTGAATATTTGCTTTGAGAGCTCTCTCCGTAGTCTGGCTGCCCCCCCAAAGCGGTGTACACGGCCAGGGTCATGGCCTCCCCCGGACGCTGCCTGTACCAGTACATCTGAGTGTGGGACACGTCTTTGTTGTGGCTGCAGTTCATCGCTGCAGACGTGGAGGCGTAGCTCCAGAGGACTTCTGGGTACTGGGCCACGTCCTGGCAGTGAACTGTGTAGAGAGAGTGCGGCACATTAAAATGTAAGCTTTCATTTTGAGATGGTAAACAAGTAAGTGGATATTTTTGCGAAGTTATGTGACCACATACTCCTTAAATTGTTTTTTCCAATGAATATTTACCAAACAAGCAGAACCTCCAGACTGCATTGTCCGATTTATACTTATTTTAAGATAAAATAAAGTATTCATCAGCATACCTTGAATCCACAGAGGAGAGAGTATAAATGTGATGAGAACTTTCATAATGATCCTGTTCACAGGAGACTCTGTCATGACACACTGACTGCCTGAGGGAGGGAAATACTCTTCGAACCCTCCTCTTCTTAATCAAAAAAAAAAAAAAAAAAAGGCAATGAATGCGCAAAGGCCTGTGAGCCGTAACACTCAGGGGAAACAGCACTGTCCGATTTATACTTATTTTATGATAAAATAAAGTATTCATCAGCATACCTTGAATCCACAGAGGAGAGAGTATAAATGTGATGAGGACTTTCATAATGATCCTGTTCACAGGAGACTCTGTCATGACACACTGACTGCCTGAGGGAGGGAAATACTCTTCGAACCCTCCTCTTCTTAATCAAAAAAAAAAAAAAAAAGGCAATGAATGCGCAAAGGCCTGTGAGCCGTAACACTCAGGGGAAACACACAGATGTGGTCAGAAAACCTGCGGCACAGAAATATGCTGCTCCCCGCCATTCAGATCACCCCAATTTTCAAGTTTGAACATGGTTCAGACTCCTGTGAGGAGACAGAAATCTGTGGAGAAGTCAAAAGAATAAAGAAAAGCATTAGAGCTTTACTGTTTTAACTCTAAACCCTAATCCTAATGCAAGTGAGAGATCATATCCATTTAATAAATGGACAAAAGAAGGCTATATAATTAATTCCAGCATATGCGGAAGGCTTCCTGAAAATTGCCCTTTATAAAGAGGAA